CCATCCAACATGACTCATGCTCAATATCTATAAAGGAGGTGCTTGACTTATGCTTGGCTCTGTTACAAATTTAATGTGGATTGTTCTATCAAGACCATCAATTCCCATGAAGATGAGCCTGGTCAGGGCGTTGACCTTACAGTTTTCCGATCGGGATATTTTTATAATTTCACAAATTTTGAATTGCTTTTGAAAATCATAAACTCTTGGGAAGTATAAGCTCATCTTCTCATCTTTTCATTGAAATGTCCCCTCAGTCTGGCTGATCACAAGTTGTGAATCCCTGAAAATTTTTATTTTTTCGAGCTCAAGATTAATGGCGAGTTCATATGAGATAACAACTGCTTCGAATTCTGCCTCATTGTTTGTAACATCGAATTCAAATAAGAGTGCACATTGTATTTTGGTATGTCTGTCTGGGCTAATGAATATGACTCCTACGCCCGAGCTTGAGGACTTCGATGTTCCATCAACAAATATCTCTCATGTATCCCTGTCATCAATGGTCGGGTTGTCACTTGGCCCCAGAGGCTTTGGAGTGAGTTCTACTATGAAGTCGGGCAAAGACTATGGTTTGACTGAGGATTAGGGCATGAACTCGATGTCAAATTCACCAAGTTCAATAACCCACTTCAATAGCGTCCCGGACACGTCGGGATTCTGGAGTATACTCTTGAGTGGTTGATTAGTGAGCATGACAATTGGATGAAATTGAAAAAATTGTTGTAATTTTCGTGCTGCCACCATTAGGGCAAGAGCTATCTGCTCGACCAATGTATACCTGGTCTCCATATCAAGTAATACCTTGCTCAAGTAGTAAATTGGTTGTTTAGCTTTCTTGACCTCTTTCACCAATACATCACTCACCGCATTTTGAGAAACTGCTAAGTACAAAAATAAAGAATTTCCAGGCTCTGGCCTCGTGAGAACTGGGAGGGGGGTTTCCAATGTTTGCTTGAGCTCATGGAATGCCTTCTCACAATCCTCGTTCGATTAGAAGTTATGATTTTCCCTGAGAGCTTTGAAAAATGGGAAGCATCTATCCGCTGTACGAGACATGAACCTGTTCAAGACGGGGATTAGACCCATTAGTTTTGAGCCTCTTTCTTGCTCCTAGGGGACTCCATGGACGTCAGGGCCTGTAATTGGCTTCAATTTCCCTGTGCGTGATCATGAAGCCCAAGAACTTGCCCGAGGCTACTCCAAAGGGGCACTTGGCTAGATTTAATTTCATGTTATATTCTCAAAGAGTAGAGAATGCTTCTTCAAGAGCTACAATATGTTGATCTGCTTGCTTGCTCTTTACTACCATGTCATCCACATAGGCCTCAATATTTTTTCCAATCATCTTAGCAAAGATTTTGTTGATAAGTCTATGATAGGTTGCTCCTGTATTCTTCAGCCAAAATGGCATGACCCCATAACAATATATGGCCGAGTCATCCATAAATGATGTTTTTTTCCGATCTTCCTCAGCCATGAGGATCTGATGATATTCCAAAAATGCATCGAGGAAGTTGTACAATTTATGCCTGACGTTTTGTCCACAAGGTTGTCGATTCGAAGTAGGGAATAGCTGTCCTTTGGGAATGCTTTGTTAAGATCTATAAAGTCGATACATACTCTCCATCTACCATTGGCCTTCTTGACGAGGACAATGTTGGCGAGCCAGTCAGGGTACTGAACTTCTCGAATAAATCGAGCATTGATCAACTTATCAATCTCTTCGCGCATGCCTCGCGGCTTTGCTCCTGAATTAATATTGAGTTTGTGGACCGATACGCTTGGGCTTATCCCGGGCATGTCCTCTAAGTTCCATGCAAACACATAAATATTGCAGGATAAGCAGCTTATAAGCATAGCCACGAGGGTTTAATCAAGATCTCGACCAACCATCACCTTTTTATATTGCTCGAGCTCGACCTCTACCAATTCTTCTATTGGGGTAAGTCTTTCTCTAAGGTCGGGCTCGGGTTCGGATGATAAGATTTGCATGACGTTGGAGCTTATTCCCCAAACACTTATAATATAGCATTATCTAGCAGCTGATTGCTCTCCACGCACTACCCCCACACCCTTACTCGTAGGGAACTTCGTAGTAAGGTGGAAAGTAGAAACAATAGCTCTGGTCTTGTTAAGTAATGGTATTGTAAGCCATTGAAACACAGACTACCTAGAATGACTTGTTTCGGTCACCTGCTTTTTGATTCGATCCTAATATAAGGGAAAGATTGACGACTCCCTCCGAAATGATCTAACTGCCTCCAAATCCTTAAAGTTGAGTTTTAATGGCTTTGAGCTGTTCGGTGGAGATCCCCATCCTAGAGTATGTCTCATGAGAGAGTATGTTGGCCGTGCTCCCATTGTCAACCAAAATCCTGTTCACCTCAAAATTGGCTATGTTCACTGATATGACCAAATCATCATCGTGTGGATATGATAAGTCTTTCAAATCCAGTGACCGGAATGTGATCTCTTCCATGTCATTAGGAATTTTCCTTGAGCTCGGGGTGTACTTCCTGGTATAGTGCTTAAGCCCACTATTAGAGCCTCCTCCTGATGCTATATCCCCGCCAATAATGTTAATGGTTTTTGCCATAGGCTTGTCATTTCCTCTTCCTTTGGGACCTTTCTCCTCGTCTCAATCATTCTTTGGGCGCTAGTCATGACAGATGTATGAACTTAGAAAATCCCTTTTTATTTGAGCTTTGCAGTTCTCTGTTGTATATCCATGATCCTGATGATAATCACAATACTTGTTTCTGTCTCGAATATTAGGAGGGGACTGCATCTTTGAAGGCCATTTGAGCTCCTTTATATCCTTGATCTCTATCAAAATGTTAGATCTCGAAGTGTTCAGTTGAGTGAGTGACGTTAGCTGCATCTCTCATACCTCTGTTTATTCCAGTGACCTTCCGAACGAGGATTAAAATCGTGTTGTCTTTTGTGTTCGTGTTGTTTCGAGGTCGGGTGAGGATTTCTCATCGGGTATCTGAAGTCTTTCCTTATTGAAGTTTGTCATGAAGTTACGTAGGGATTTATTCGATCCTTGCCTGATCTGCATGAGGGAAGCGACTATCTTCTTGATGCGTTTGCTACTAGCAAAGAAGAAAAAAAAACTTGTCGACTAAGTCAGAGAATGAAGCAATGGAATTGGGCTCTAAAGTAGAAAACCAATCCCTGGCACCGTTAGTCAAAGTTTGTGGAAAAGCTTTACACATCACGGGATCTGGTGCCACATGCATATTCATGACATCCATATATACGTTGAGATGGTTGATAGGGTCAATTGACCCATCATATTGCTTCATGCAGGGGAGCTTGAACCTATATAGGAGCGGATAGGAAAGTACTTCCGATGTGAAAGAAGTGTTAAGGATAAACCCTGTCATCCCTTGGGTGTTTTTTTACAGTCTAGCATGGTTCTATCATGTATGAGCCCGGCTAGTTTGCTTGAGTCCATGGTAACCAACCTCGAGGCCGAGGCCACTGAGGGTACGCTCAAGGCCCCGGATCCACCATTGTCATGGGCTTCGCGAGTATCCCGAGCTCGAGCGTCAGTCATGAACCCTCCTAGTTGTCCTACTGTTGGTGCCGGTAGGTGTACCTACATTGAATGAGCAACCCTCTAGCTTAGTAATTGATTTAGTGTTGCAACTTGCTGAAGAAGTTCTTTGAAGGCACTTGTCGTAACCACCTATGGTTGGGGAGTTGGTACTATCGATAATTCTTCTTGATGAGCTGGGGGCTCCGCAACAAGGGGTGGGTCTAGTACAGATGAGCTTGCTGGAGGAAGACCTAGACGTGTGTTGACCATGGCTTTTGGTAGCGTTTCCCACAGAAAGCGACAATCACTACACCAAATATGGCCTTTTACAATACTCAAAAGGCAACATTTGTTCATTATATGTTGTTAAAGGAGTCTATCGTAACATTTTAATAAGTCAATGTTGCCATTGATTGATATAAATGAGCTTTCGCAACGTTTTTTAGAATAATGTTGCTAATGTCGCTTTTTTCAACGTTTATTGAGTGTTGTAAAAAATTTTCTCAACGTTTATCAAACGTTGTGAAAAGTCTACATTGCAACATTTTTTGAACGTTGCGAATGTCGCACTTTGTGCAACGTTTATTGAATGTTACAAAAAGTGAGACCTTTTATTTTATGAAACATTTATTAAACGTTGCGAAAAGTCACTTTCTGCAATGTTTGACAAACGTTGCAAAAAATTTTGTACTTTTTTAAATTAGCTGATAGGAACCTAGAAGAACCCAAACCCTAAGCTTATTTACGCCTCCCTCAATTCATTCTCCTCCAACCAAAAAGGGGCTATTTTTTGCCCTCAAAACCTCCTAAAAATGCACCCAATTTTTGTGACCCACGTCCACCAAAATCGCCAGACATTGGTACCGATGGACATCCCTTCATCTCCTCTTCAATTAGCAACCAACAGCTTCCAAATCCACCAACTATACTGGCCAGAATCACTCCCCAAAGTTCAATGCCTACGAATCTGAAAATCACCATAAAATCCACTTTCGGCCAAGCCCATGATCGGAACTCTACACCAGTTGATTGCCCATCACCAAACGACTTCTTCCATGTCACCAATTCAACCCAAACATCATCACATATTTTCGAATTTGTCCTAGAAGATAGGCCAGTCGCGCAGTTCACACAGCCAGGTTCGAAGATTCCAATTTTTGATACCGTCCAGTTGACCCATGGTTTCTTTATAATCAAAAGTGCTTCATTCTTTCTCTTCCAGGTTTTTTTTCTTTTCTATTTCAATCTGAACCTTTCCTTTTTTTTCATTATCCATTTCAAACATTTTCCCGATTATCTTTCGTTTTTGTTAAAATTAAGGCTGCTTCAATCAGTTAGATTTAGAAATTTCATCTGAAGTTCTAATTGATGCTATGAATGTTGAAATTAGTTTGGAGTTTCTGGTTTTGATAAATCTAATCTTGAGGTCGAAGGTTTTTTGGTTCAACATGATATGGAGAATATCTACATGTGGGTTTTCAAGGAAAAGCCTGAGAATGCTCTGGGTAAGATGCAGCCGCAGAGTTATATGAATGGCCATTCTCGTCAAGGGGATCGACCCTTTCCATTTAGTGTTGATAAAGGTTTTGTTCAATCCCATAGGATGCAACATAAGCATTGCAGGGGTCTGTCTAACCCTCAGTGTATTCATGGCATTGAGGTTGTTCCTTCACCCAATCTCACGGATCTTGATGAAGATGACTGCAGAAGATGGGCAGAACTCACTGGAAGGGACTCGAACTTTACCATCCCACTTGAAGCAAGTGACTACAGTTCGTGGAGAAATATACCAACTACTTGAAGTCCGTGTTTGCCTTCGTCCCATCCATGGGAACAACAATCTTACATGAACTAGGACTTGTTTGTTGTGGATATTGCTTTATTGTTCTCTAACATTATGTCGTAGATGAAATAGAATATGCAACCTTGTTCTCTAGCATATATGTCATGCAATGTTGTGATTGATGAAACAGAATATGCAATCGATATTAGTTGTTGTGTTCTGTTTTGTAGCACTGATATACGTAGAAAGGAAACAATAATATGTATGAGTAGTTATGTAGTATCTTGTTAACAGTGATTAGGTTTGTAATATATAAATCTTCTATATTGTATCATTGTATGGTTCAATGTCGATTTTAAAATCTTGCATTCCTCAAAATCATTGTCCAAATCCCCTAAGATCATAGTGCCTTTTAAGATGTCAAGGGCCTATTTGTCTAGTTTTAGTTGATTCTTCTTTTTTTCAGCATCATGCCCAAATCTTATAGATGTTTCGATTTTAATAGGGTGCATTCAAATTGAGAATTTAGGTGGTGCATGGCTGTCATAAGCTCATGCCATAAGGTATTGCGTCATGAAATTTCAAGAATGTGATATAAAAGTATATTAAACAAGATATAATATGTTTTGAATTTCGATCTTAGTGCTTCTTGAGGTGTGTTTGTGTGTCTATGAATAGGATATTTTGTGTGTGAGTGTGCGTGTGTGTATTATGCATTTATTTTTGTACTTCATGTTTTGAATGTCGTATAGTTTGTGTTGTGCTGAAACAGGGTGAATTAGGGAAAGTGTGGTGAAAGTTGAGAAGGTGAGAAAATAACTGAGATATCTACTAAGGAGTTTGGAACAGGGAGGTCGAAGTCACTGGAAGGGGTATGTACTGTGCTGCAGCAGGAGTGCCAGCCTGGGGAAGCGTTGGTGGAATGGAGGTCTTCCGAGCAGCTGGAAAATAGGATCCCATCAACGTCGCCCCCTTACTGGGATAGCAGTGACGATGATGACGGTATGTCATTTGTCCCCTTCAGGATACTTGGAATCCATGTTAATGAATTCCTTTTGTTGGTTCTATTTTAGTCAATATTGACGAAGTAACATGATATCTATCGATATTGTGCTAGACATTTGTCACATGCAAAAAGGAACTTGTTAATGTGTGTGCGTGTGGATGCCCGTGTTATTGTGCTGCCACTGAAAACTTGAACTTTATTATTTATATGCAGGTTATATATGCACATTAAGAAGTGTACTCCATTTACACAAGAAAAAGTGTTTGCAGTAGTTTATTCAAGGCTTTTTCTAGCTGGCGTGTTTTCAAGGTCGGTGGGGCTATTTTACTCACTACTTAGGATTTGTGGCAGTTCTTTTTTTTTTATTTATTGAAAATGTATAGGATTTTTAGTTGATTCAAAGTTTGGATCTAGATTTTGTACGGATATTGTTACATTTTGCAGTTCAATTAATAATGATTATTGGAGTTATTTGATATTGTTATCTTCTATCATGTTTTATGGTTGATTTATGTAAATCACTATACAAATAAAAAAATTTAAGATTTAAAAAAAAATGTAAAAAGACCTACGGCAACGATCAAAAAATGATGCGAAAGACTGTCTTCCGCAACGTTCAAAAAAGTTGCAAAAAACTGTCTTTCGCAACTTTAGGAAGCGTTGCAAAAGGTCTTCGGCAACGCTAAAAAGTATTGTCGTATCTTTCTACTCTACGGTAATATCGAGGTTTACAACATACGTACAAACGTTGCAAAAGGTCTTTCGTAACGTTTTTTGAACGTTGCAAAGGGTCTTTCGTAACGTTTTTTGAACGATGCGAAAGACAGTTTTTTTGTAGTGAATGATGCTACCAAAAATTGTACTTCTTGATTTCCGAGCTCGACGACTGAGAATGAGCACCAATGAGATATTCTGGCACCTGAAACAAATGCGTCGAGTTGTGTCCTCATCGCTCCTCTGATACTTAAGTAAGAGAGAGAATTTGCGAAAAAATATGTACTAGAAATTATGTAAAAAACGTACCTTGATAATGAATTGGAGTGTTGTATTTATAAAGGTAGGTAGTACATTCCTGCCAGGATTACACTGTTGAAGTCCCTAGGAGTTCTACCATGTCTAGAAGTTGCAACTTGATTGGTTTTGTATTACCCAAGTGTTTGGATTAAGATAGAACTCTAGTGGCAGAGTCCTTTCAAGATGAGGTAACATATTAACAATAGATCTTGAATTTTTTGGAAAGTTGTAACTTCGAGGAGGTCCTTAGCCGATGGGGGAAATACCCAAACCGAGGATGCTTGCCCAAGGAAGTCCCCATGTTCGTGGTTAGAAGGGAATCTCGGGCTACCATTTGCTCAGGATATGCACATATTGGGATGATCACAAATTAAATTTTTTGATAACATAGCTTTCAATTTTATAGATGGTCAAAATTTTTGTTCAGTCTCTAATTGGGATTCATTTTTTTCTACTTAAAAATTTTACTTTTCATAGTTAAACATTTATTTTAACTGCGCATTTTGTAAAATTCATATATACTACACAAGTTAGTAGATTTTTGCAGTATTCTAGGAGTAGTTTTGTTTAAATAATCTTTATTTTAGTTTTACCTCATCTAGTATGCTTTTAGGATTTCCGACAAATAATTTAGAGGATTTACAAACTTTCAAGGAAGAAGCTCAAAATCATGATTATTCTTCCTAGTTGAGCTTATTGAAAACTTGAAGAAAGTTTGAATCTGTATTAGAATGAGGAAAAATCAAGTGTAGAAATGAATCATGAAATCTTATGTTGTTTTCTTATGTTTGGATTTGAAAATCTATCACATATTTATAGATTTCTAATATTATACCATGAAAGGACTCCAAACACAAAAGCACCAGAAATTCAAATGTAAAAATCTGCCCAACGACTAAATTTTTTGAACCGTTCGTACGTATGGTAGAAGCAAAAACGCTTCAATTTCCTGCAAACAAGGCAGTGCGTACGCAAGGCCATTTAGCCTATGCAACGCATGGTAAAGTCGAAACCACCCCATTTTGTTTTTTCAATCATCATTAATTCATACACATTTCAGCCAAAAAAAGGCTCAAATTTTGAACAACAAATAATTATATGACATGAATATGATTTTATTAATGAATTCGTCCCTTTTTGTAAATCATCTTTTCTAGCATGGATGAAAATGTACGTGGCGAACAAGCATAGTTTTGAAAGCTGTGATACTTCAAGTGGAGTAAAGCTTTAGAATGAAATCTGTTCTTTCTAATCTATTGTTTTCTTGATTTGAAAGAAACCTCTACCTTTTGTTTACTTATAAGTGTAAAAACCTATACCAATCCAAACACTTGGATTATCATAAAAAGACGCATGCAAGTGTCCAAAACTAAATTCTCCTAGGCAAAAACAACAGTCGCCATACTAAAATCACTTGAAAAACTAGAGAGCCACATCTTGTACAAGTAGATTTTCTTCCGTTCATCTCTTATCTTTCCACTTATCTATTATTTCTCTCTCAATAGATACATACAAACCAAGTAATGCATAAACGATACACAACTCATAATTCACTTGGAAAGTCTATTATTCTTATTAGAATACTTCAAACTATCTTGTGATTTTGTAGATAATCTAAGAATCGATCAATATAACCATCTGGTATATCTTTATTCGATAACATTTCTCTCATCTCTTTAACATTTTCCCTGTAAACTTTACCTCCTCCTTCCACCATCACCAATCTTAGTGAGCAAGCAACTGGTCCTTAGTAAATGATCCGTCCAATTCATTTCTCGCTATCTCATGTCCCAACTTCTTTTCCTCCAATAGGCTGGAAATCAATCCTTGGTCTGCCAAGAAAGGCAACAAGTTATCCATTTCCCGAATTGCAAAGCCTCCACTACTGAGCTTAGCCCGGAATGACACAAGATTCCACCCACCGACTCATGGCTCAGTACCTTGAGTTGATGAACCCAACTTGTACAAACCATCCCACGTCCTTTGATTCTCTCCTCGAACCCTTCTGGCAACTGAGTCACCTCATTATCTGCTGCCCCTCGTTGCTTCCTCAGAGCCCAGAAAAAAGGCAATTCCGACTTCTCCGAACCTAATGCAATTTCAGTGAGTTTATCTTGATTTGGTTTCGTTTCACTTCC